TCCAACCTAATAGCAATCGCCTCCAACCAAATAGCGATGACCTCCAATCTAGGAGCGATGCCCTCCAACCTAATCGCGATGGCCACCAACCAAATAGCAATGGCCTCCAACCTGATAATAGCAATCGCCTCCAATCTAATCGCATTTGCCTCCAACCTACGAGCGATGGCCTCCAACCTACGAGCGATGGCCTCCAACCTAATTACGATGGCCTCCAACCTAATAGCAATCGCCTCCCACCTAATAGCGAGGGCCTCCAACCTAATAGTGATGGCCTCCAACCTAAGAGCGATGGCCTCCTGGCCTCCAACCTGAGAGCGATGGCCTCCAACCTAATAGGGATCGCCTCCAACCAAATAGCAATCGCCTCCAACCTACGAGCGATGGCCTCCAACCTAATAGCGATGGCCTCCAACCTAATAGCGACGGCCTCCAACCTACCAGTGATGGCCTCCAACCTAATAGCGACAAATAGCGATGGGCTCCAACCTAATAGTTTGGCCTCCAACCTAGTAGCGATGGCCTCCAACCTAATAGCGATGGCCTCCAACCTAATTACGATGTCCTCCATCCTAATAGCGCTGGCCCCCAACCTACTATAGTGATGGCCTCCACGCTAATAGCAATCGCCTCCAACCTAATAGCGATGGCCTCCAACCTACTATAGTGATGGCCTCCAACCTAATAGCAATCGCCTCCAACCTAATAGCGATGGCCTCCAACCTAATAGCCATGGCCTCCAACCAAAAAGCGATGGCCTCCAACCTAATAGCGATGGCCTCCAACCTAATAGTGATGGCCTCCAACCTAATAGCAATCGCCTCCAACCTAATAGCGATGGCCTCCAACCTAATAGTGATGGCCTCCAACCTAAGAGCGATGGCCTCCTCGCCTCCAACCTCAGAGCGATCGCCTCCAGCCTAAGAGGGATGGTCTCGAACCTAAGAGCGATGGCCTCCAACCTAAGAGGGATGGGAATAGATGTGCAAAAACATGCAAAAACTGCCCTGTGCAAAGATTCGCACTTCCGAGATGCTACGGAATCCACGGCGACTCCGAGAGCACCCTCGATCGAGCACCCGTCCTTCACTACCACAAGAACCCCTCAGTGTTACACAATGTTACACATTGTTTGGGCCAGAAACAAACGCAACAAAGACGGGCAAGCAAATAGAAAGAAACAGCTGAAATGCGTGACGACCCGTTGTGGAAGGGGATGGCAAAGGATGCAACCGATCACGGGCACTGATAATGCTGGTGAGGTTTGCACTTGAGTCAGCCGTGTAAGGGGCGGGAGTTGGACTATTCGACTGTCTGAGATACCTATGGTGCCACAAGGACGCAGTCCCTCGTCGTTATGATTGCTCCGTGATTGCTAGAACATGCTAGAACGATCTTTGAACCGAGAAGAGTGATCGAGTTGCGGTCTGTTGCCTTGAGTAAAGGCCTTCCAATTGTGACTCGAGGCAACATAGCTTTTTAAAGCAGAGTTGGGCCGTGGAGAGGTAAGTGCTTAAGTATGCTCACGTGAATAGTAGCTACTAGGTAGGCTAGGTAGGGTAGGCTAGGCGCTGCTAGGTTAGGATACAATGCTATGCTCCGGCTTCTTCAAGAAAGCTCTCCCCGTCTGAGGGCGGTGAGCTTCACAAACGACTCACATGATTGATTTTGTTTCCCTTCACTCCTAGATGCTAAAAAACTAGACGACGAGTGGCCCGAAAGCATTTTTCATCACGTAGGAAGTCAGAGTGTGAGTTATCCGGTAAGTGTGCAGTGAGAAGTGTGAAGTCGAGTGAGTTGAGGTAGTGTGTGGGTTTCTGTGCGTGTGTCTATGTCCGTGTGGAAATGAGTCTGCGTATGTGTGTGTTCGTGTAAATTGAGGGAGTGTGTGGGTGTCTGTGTGTGATGCGGCCTCCCAAACCCCCCACCGGCGGCCAAGCGGTGACAGCCCAGCTCATCGTCGTGAGCATTTGGGCTGCTGGTAAGGGGACAATGGCAGCCAGCGTGCTGGCTTACCCACTTCAACTATGATGGTAGCCAGCGCGCTGGCTCATACCCACTTCAACTATGATGGCAGCCAGCATGCTGGCTTTGCCATCTGGACAATGGCAGCCAGCGTGCTGGCTTACCCACTTCAACTATGATGCTAGCCAGCGTGCTGGCTTTGCCATCTCAACAATTGCATCACCACATGCTGCACTGCAGACTGAACAATAACGTGTGAATCATCTGCCTCTGGTCATCCTGGTTGACAATGCCAAGGTTCCCTGGCATGATGGCTGGGCAAAGAGGAAGACCTACGAGCTAGTGGGCTGCAAAGTAGTAAATAGCGCATGCATAGCCATAAGAAGGCTCTGGTTCATGTGCGATATGAATATTGCAAAAGCTTGTGGGTTCCGTGAAACTTCTTCCAAGTATATTCGTCACTGCTGTTGAGTAGATATTTTGGTAGTTGGCTCAAGTTGTATGGAGACTTCTGCAATGTCACTGTCAGCACCGACAGGTCAGCCACGGAAAATACAGAGTCTGTTGGCGCAGGCGCTCTGAGGGTGACATGTGCTTCGCGCTAGAAGTAGTTAAGAACCACTATGCTGTTCATTTTCTAATCGCCTCTCCTACAGAAACATGCAACAAAGTAGCACGAGGTTAAAAACCGAGCTGGAATGAACACAGAAAATGCTGAGGCAGCCACGCCAGAAGCGTCTCGAAGCAGTGACCTGTCAGAGGAAAGGCATCCATGGATATATATCTTCCGGGCAAAAACGTTTACTTCACTCCAGGACACAGCTTTTCTAGGATGTAGTTAACCAACCACGATGCTTGTCATTGAGTAATTGACTGTCTCAGAGAAAAACTGTAGATGTTTTAGCGCACTCTCGCTGTTCGGCTCGCGACAAGTCTTTGTACACAGCAAGGATAGCGTTGTGCTTCCGCAGAACGACGTCCACACAGAATTTATCAGGAAGAAGTCACGGTATGAGACACACAGTTGGTTGGGTCTAGCGCGTCCGCCCGAAGCAGATCTGGATGGTGTAGGCATCTGTGAAGTTGCGGCTGTTGTTCCTCACCCAGTCGTGCCATCCACTGGACCACTGGACCACTCGCCAAAACTGCGATGTTTCTCCATGGGCAACCCAGTATCTGTTTGCTATGGACTGGTTTGGCCATCTTGCATGGATGAGCTCTGGCTGGTCGTCATGGTATGTCCTCCTTCCATAGGACCAACAGAGGCACACCTGTCTCTGGTCATCATGGGCGACGCTGAAGAAGTGATCCTCAACAATGCCAAGGTTCCCTGGCATGATGGCTGGGCAAAGAGGGAGACCTACGAGCTAGTGGGCTGCAAATTGGTAAATAGCACATGCATAGCTCTGAGAAGGCTCGGCTTGCCTTGTAAAGGTTTATGTGGGAAATGAATATTGCAAAAGCTTGTGGGGCGCGTTCAAACTTCTTGCAAGTATATTCTTCATTGCTGTTGAGTTGATTTTGTGGTAGTTGGCCCCAGTTGTATGGAGACTTCTGCAATGTCACTGTGAGCACCGAAAGGTCAGCCACGGAAAATGCACAGTCGGTTGGCACGCTCTGAGGGTGACATGTGCTTCGCTTTAGATGTAGTTAAGAACCACTATGCTGCTCATTTTCCAATCGCCTCTCCTACAGAAACATGCAAGAAAGTAGCACGAGGTGACACATAGCAGGCACGGCGCATGTTTTCGTGTGCTCTGGCCGTTCAGCTCGCGACTAGCCCTTGTATAGGGCAAAGACTCCCCGACACTATGTCTATACTTGTCGTGCTTCCGCAAAACGACGTCCACACAGGATTTGTAAGGAAGAATTCATGGTATGAGACATGCAGTTGGTTACCATGTGAACATCTAGGTGACACCCTGCGTCGGGGAGACTCTCACTGCGGTGTCCGCTCCGGAGACACGGCGGCGACCATCTGGGCCAACTGGGCGGCTTCGAGGGTGCCATCTGGTGACACGTCCGCCAGTGGGATGCGGAGCGGGGGGTCCACTTGAACAAACCTGCCAGTCTGGTCGTGGCAGCCGCTGAGTTCGATGCAATCGGGCGGTGTGGTATTTGCAGCGCGGGCCGCTTCCCACGACCGCCCAAGACGCTGGCATGGTCGACAGATAAGGTGATCGGCATCGCACTGGGCGCAAACGGCGTTGAACGGCCGCAGCGAACAAGCCTCGCACCAGGAATGCGTCCACTGCCCGCAAAGTTCGCAAGGTTGGGCTCCGAGGTCTCGTCCAGGTAAGTTTTCAGCCGCAGTGACCAGCGCAAACGCCGCCCTCTTGGGAAAAGATCGCTGGCGCTCCTCGCGTGGCACTCTGCGATGGTCCTCGCGCGGATGTAGGCGCAACCAAACCTCCGCTTCCGCGACCCACGCTTCCCAAGCCACTGGGCGCAGGGCAGTCATGGCACGGCGGCGTGGTGAGAGGAATGACGACGAGGTGTGCTTACAAGTGACTGGCTGCGAAGCACCGGAACCCAGTTTCCAAGTAGCACTGACACAGCGTACAATCGTGTGTACTGTGGTATTCGTCTTCGGCCCTCGCCCGTCCTCGCCTTCTTGTCGAAGAGCACACCTGGCGAGAAAAACAAGAGGCTTGGCGAGAAACCTCTCAGATGTCTCTTGTGCTAGGCTTACCCACTTCAACTATGATGGTAGCCAGCGTGCTGGCTCATGCCCACTTCAACTATAATGGCAGCCAGCGTGCTGGCTTTGCCATCTGGACAATGGCAGCCAGCGTGCTGGCTTACCCACTTCAACTATGATGGCAGCCAGCGTGCTGGCTTACCCACTTCAACTATGATGGTAGCCAGCGTGCTGGCTTTCCATCTGGACAATGGCAGCCAGCAAGCTGGCTTCCACTGCCTGTTGTCAGCCAAAGTCTTTGCGCGGCTATCGACACGCCCGATCTCCGCAGAGGGTTGCGCGCACAGCCGGCAAATCGCACTCTCGCCTGCATTTCGCGCACTCGACACGCACGATCTCCGCAGAGGGTTGCGCGCACAGCCGGCAAATCGCACCCTCGCCTG